GTCTTATATATTTAAATTACTCAGGCTACAAATGCTGGGAATGTCTCTAAGCAGGACAGCCTGGAGTTTTTAGTTAATGACATGTGTTGATGTCATTTTTTTAATATGTTCCTCTGTACTTCTGTGTCTACTGAGAGAACACCACCACCAAAGAGAGCCTTCTTGTTTATTCTTTGCTGAGTTAAAGCACAGAATAAGAACAGATGTATATTCAAATCAGTTATAGCAGCAACATCTTGAGTGGCTGTTCAGGTTAAAATATTTCCACTACAAGCAGTTGTACATTTGATTTTACAGCTTCCTCTTCCAAAATTCATTTCTAAGAAGTAAAAAAGAAAGGGTGCAATTGGAACAAAGCAAAGGTAATTATGTAAGGTTCTCCGCCTCTTGTATGCCCACTTTGTTCTCTGGGGAAAACATGCAAACAACAGACCATTCACAAAAGTATCAGCTGCAGTGAAAAATTTCAAGGGCTCTGAAGGAGCCTCACTAAGAAGTATTTTCCATCCAAAAAATGCAAAGTACCACAACAGGAAAGAGTTCAAGAAGCATTATCTGCCTGGCACTCTTAACATCTCTGCCACTCCAGATGTTTACAGAAAAGCAGCCCACAGCACAGCTCATGAGTGGCCACGAGTTACAGAAGGGAACAGGGAGACATTTTTGGCCCACCAGCCTGCTGCAATAACGCGGACGCACTCAGGGTGAGAAGGGACCTGCACTACACATGAGGAACACTGCAGTATAGTTTCCCACAGCTTTCAGAAGGAAGAACATAGATTTTCACAGAAGATCGAACAAACTTGAAAATCATCAGAAGTGTGAAATTTAGTTACTAAAAGTTTGTAAAGACACCATCCAGTTCTCAGAAATCTCTGCCCACTGACAAAATACATTATAAATACATTATAAATAACAACTATAGTATACATTTATGGATGAATTGAAGAACTAACTGGTTAGAAATACATTTTTTACAAGAGTGAATGCTACATGAAATGAGAACAAAAACAGAACATCATCTCCACAAGGCAATTCAGCCAGGATATTAAAACACGGGGTTTTCTTTTTCCCCTCCAATTTGGTAAGTAGCAGTAATCCAAAACAACCACAGCAACCCTGAGGGAACTTAAAAGGAGGCATTCACAACAAGGAAGTTCTGCAAGAGGAAACCTACAGGTTGTTCTTTAACATGATTTCGTGGTATTGGACAAAGCAGCAGTTCCTCAGCTGCATGACTCCTGTTAATCTTGCTGCATTCCAAAGGGAAACCCAGCTCAATTAACACTGCTGAAAGATACCCACACTGCTACAAAAAAAAATAAAGTCACCTACTCCAAGCAACAGAGCTTTGTATTTGGAATAAAGGAATGCATTATAAAAATGCTAGAAAGAAGATGCAGTGTAACGAAAACTCCAAATGCCAGAGATCACTGTGGCAGCATTCTTGCCGTATGCTGTGGCACAGATGCAGAAAAATACTGGGGGAGGAGAGGTCTCACATCAGAGCATTGTCTGAAACTACAGACAGCAAGGTCCCACTACACAAGGCAAGGTCAATGCAACTGGAGAGTCATCTGTTTAATAAAACATACTATTATTAGATTCCAGTTATGCAGCACTTGTGCATACTAATAGAATAAAAGCATTACCCCAAAAATAAATGTTTTGAAATGGTAGCTTTGCCTTTACACTCACTAATTTTCCACTTCCCTGACCCGTTAAAAAAAAAAAAAATTAGAAATTGAATATGAACAATTGAAAATGAAACATTCTGGTATTTTCAGTTTCTTTAGTTACTCAAAAAGTGGTACAGCAATTTAAAAAAATCTAATGATACATTCAGTTTTTTGAGATGCTCTGTTCCATTTAAAATGTTGTACCACATTATTAAGTATTAATTACTGATAGCAGCGTAAAATAGAAAGTATCCCAGAGTTGATAGCATATTTAACCTATGGAGTTATGACTCAGACTACTGTAGGTGGGATACAACAGTCTGCATACTGCCCTGCAGAGCACACCTCCCTGCACAAGACGCAAGCCTGCCGGGCCGCCCTGCTCCAAAGTTCTACTGGGCTCCATGAGATTTCAAGCTGTCACAGAGGCCAGCGCTACCTAGGGCTTTGTCTCCAACAGCCTGTAAATCTGAGAGCTGTGGGGGAACTTAAATGAAGGGTACTCCTGGAGAACAGAGCATAGCATTGAGCTCAGTGCTTCCAGTGTACCCATTTTCAACAACCAATGGCAAGCAGATACAGCACTGGAACGTGTGGATTATTCATGAATGACCAAGCAGTTAAGAAGAGAGCATTGTGGATGGCCTAGTTTAAAAACAGTGACATTCATTATGTTTTGTACAAAGACGTCAGCACAACAGAGCATACAAGACCACTGAGGGAAAGGTGTTCATCCCAATTGATGTATCTACAAATTAATTCCCATGTTTCGAGTACGATAAAAATTCCTTAACTCAAGAAAAAAGCTGGGGGGCTGGGGGGAGGGGGGATGTATATTGTAGAGCTCCCAACGCCACTGTCACCACTTCACCCTCAACTCTTAAATCTCAGTTCACTAGATGGAAGTTTTGCTCAAAAATGAGAGAGTGAAATATGACCAATCTCTGGCAGAACCTCCACTGTGGAAACCCCACCCACGAGCAGACACATGCATAGGTCTGCCAAGACAAACAGAGCAGAATGCAGAGTAAGCGGCACTGCTCTCCTGCAGCATGCACTCAGCCTTGCAGGTCCCCCAGCACACGTGTGGCAGCTCTCTGCTAAAGGCGATTAAAAGCAGCTCGAGAAGGGACCAAATTAACCTAAGGGAAAGCATGGATTTCATGCTGGCACGCTAATAACCTTCTTTACCAAAGCCACAATGAAAAGTGTTATTTAAAAATTAATCAGACTGCATACTAAAGGTACGGGCACCATTCGATAGGTTGTGCTGGAATAACACCATGAGTGGCTGCACAGCCAGCAGGTGTGGCAGCATGTCTGTGCTAGAGCCATGGGATTCCCTCCAATGTGAGTCACTCAAATTTTCAAATAGTATACAAAACAAAAAGTGAATTACTGTTAATATTATTATTGTTGTCATTTATAAAGTTTAGGGCTTACAATCATAAACCAGTATCCACGTTGCAGTTGGTGCTGTGCCATACAACAGAGAACTGAACAACAGTCCTTGTTCCAACCTATTGTCCGTAAGACTATCTTCTTTTCAACCAACAAAGAACAACTTCTGTAAACTTGCAGGTAAATCCAGCTGAATAAAACAAATCACCATTAACAATCTTCAGTGAAAAATCCCTATGCAAATCGTGGACATAGATTCATTACTCTTTGCCTCCTTCATAACTCAGCTCTTTCTTTAACTAATTTTTATTTCAAATCCAAGAACCACTGCTAAATTACAGCTGCTCTTCTCCAAAAGAGCTGCTATTTCAGGCTAGACATTCCCAGCCATTGTATCACTACCACTGTCCCTCATGAACACACTGCTTCAATTCTAGATTTTGGTGATGGTTTTAGTCACTGGATCCCAACATTGTTATTCCTCTTAAAGACAGTAGTCCTTTAACACAAGAAATACTTTCTTCTATAGAGACTTACAATCTGTAGTCAATTTCATAGCATTACTTTGCATTATCTTAATATAGAGAATTATCCACTCTTTTATGACCTTGTTCTATGACTTCCAATAGGTAGTTTTCAGAAACTTCTTATTCTGTAGTGTATTCTGTTCATGTTTCTTGAACTTAAAAGTTTGACTTCACTTTCTTTTTTCTTTAGTAGATGGTCAGAACCCTGGTGTGAATAACACACTTGTTATTATATCAGTTACTATACATCAATCACATTGAATCAACGTCAATGAAATGGACAGGAACTGCACCCTCCAGTCTGAGGCCACAAGGAGTCTTAAGAACCAACTTTGTAGCATGTGTGAAAACACAAAGGAGCTCATTACAACACACCAGATCAATGCCTCCGAATGGGAGAACATGAATAAACTTTCTACACGGCTAAGAACGACTTCAGTAGACCTTCACTACTTTGTACACAGACTGGATGTGGCCCTTTATGACTTGGAAATTTCTCTCTGCATCATTTTACTGGCCATTCAAAACACAAGCATTTCCTAACACATGGAACATCACACCTGTTTCTCGTTTCACCTTGGTTGATTGCTCCCAGATCTGCTCAGGTGTTGTCCCAATCACACACCACTTGTTTGCCTCTGACTTTCACAGGATGAGGTAGTAGGGATCATGATGGTTATCTGTGTGTGGAAGCAGGACTTAAGCCCCACGTTGGGTCTGCTCTGCAGTTATGGCTACACGGCTCTTCCACACACAGCTGGTGGCTTCTCTAAGCCCCTTTCAAACACAGGACTACATAAAATAGACGGGATTCAAATATTTAGCAAACTTTTGTCACAACAAACACAACAGCAGGCTTAGTTCTGCTCTTCACACGAGTGCCTCACCAAGTAAACAGCAAACATTCGACTGTTCCTAGAAGCACAGAGAAGATTTTACTCATTTCTGTACCGTTCTTGCCAGCTCTTGTACCGCCTCCGTGAGCTCAGCTCCACACCACCTGTGTGCTGTGCTGTGCTGATGGCATCTCAGCAGCGCGCCGCCAATCAGATACGTAGCGCACGCGGCTCCTCGAACCCGGTGCAGACACCGCGCTCTCCCGCAGCGCCCCGGGCAGCCCCGCCGCCGGAGGAACCCCGCCGCGCACAGCCCGGTCCCGGCTAGCAGTCACAATGGGCAAACTCCCCCCTAAGAATTAAAACGGAAAGCGAGGGGGTGACCATAACGATTACAAGCTGCGGGATGAGGGCAGCCTGGCTGCTGCTATCTGGGGCTCCCTCAAGCCCACCCGGCGGAGGAGGGGATCCCAAAGCGGCGCGATAGCGGGGCCGGGAACATGGCCGAAAGCGGAGCGGCAGCCGCGAGGGCAGCGCGGGGCGAACAGGGCACGCACCTCTCAGCACAGCCCCGGCATCCTCTTCCTCCCGGGACCGCCGGGGACTCCAGCGGGGCTCTGCGACGCGGCTCTCTGCCGGACGGGGCCGCCCCCGCCGCTGCCCAGGGCGGCGGAGCGAGCCAAGCGCCTACCGCGGCGGGACGGGGGCGGGGGCTGCGGGCGCGGACCGCCCCACCGGGTCGGCGGAGGAGGGACGGAGCGAAGAGGAAGGCGCTCGGGGCAGCGCAGGCGGCTGACTCGGCCGCCTGAGAGATCCCCGGCGGGGGGGGGTTGTTCGGCGGGGACCTCCTCGCGGCGCGCTGAGCCTGGCGATGCCCCTCGCTTCCCGCCGCGACGGAGCGCGAGCGGCGTCCGCGCATCGGCTCCTCCCGCCTGGGACAGCCTCGCGCCTCCTGCGGACACCGCGCAGCAGGGGCACCGCGCAGAGCGCATCCTTGCGGCCGGAACGTCGCCCCCGCGCCCCGCCGGTCACGGTCCTACCTCTCGTCTCGGCGCCCGCCGCTCGCGGGCCGCTGAGTAACGGCTCCGACCGTGCGCCCGCGCGGGGCGGGAGCGGCGCAGCGCCATCGCCTCTCGGCCCTGGGGCGGGGGCCGCGTGCCTCACCGCATCGGAATGCGGCGCGCGCCCCTCGCCCCCCGCAGCCCCCGCCCGGCGGCGGCAGTAGCGCTCGCGGCGCTCTGTTGCTTTTTGCTTTTCCCCCTCTCCAGCACAATGCCGCTGGCCGGTGAGCGGCGCGAACGGAGCGAACAAGGGCTGCATTCGGGGCCGCAGCCCCCGTTCCGTGCTGTGCGGGTGAGAGGCGGGGGCTGCACGGCCGCCATTCGCACCGAGGAGCAACTCGGTGCGGTGAGCTCCGGTCTGCAAGCGTGGTTTGTTCGTGAAGCGTGCGTTGTGAAAAGTCGCATCAAGTTTGGTTCTGGAGGAAGCGTTCTCACTTTTTTTTTTCAAGAGGCAAAAGTTGTTCACAGATAACGAAGTTTTACTTTGGCCGCTTTTACACCGCGGGCACCGATTCCGGTAGCCAAGCTGTGTGCACGCCGTGTCCCGGCACGGCGTCGTGCAGCCCGCAGCTCACACACCCCGCACCCTGCCAGCAGCCCCACGCTGCTTCCTAAAGGAAGAGCAAACCCGAAGGCCAAAGCCGAAGTGCCGCTGCGTGCTGTGTGCTGCACGTTACCTCAGAAGTGTCATTGCCCTGAGAGGATAATACAATACTTAAATAAATGTGTCTAAAAGTCGATCAAATGATGCACTGGAAGCCTGCAGAAGTTACATGCTTTCAAAACGTTGCATTGTTTTTCCTAACCAGGTATGCCAGGCACAGCATCGCTTGTATTTGCACAGGTCTGTCAGCTTGTATTTGCTGCCTGGCTGTAGGTGTGCTATTCAGTTTCATTCCCTCATCATCCTGTGGGCACTGGTGATTATAAAAAGGAGATAAAAGACTGAGACAAAGCACTGTGGTGCTTTTAGCAGCACAGTATCCAAATCAGGCATTGCACAGGAGGTGAGAGACAGCTAATCTGAGCTGTTAATTAATGGCCTGATAGTGATTGGACAGGAGGGGATGGCATTAAACTAAAAGAGGGGAGATTTAGGTTAGGTGTTAGGAGGAAATTCTGTACTCAGAAGGAGCTGAGACCCTGGCACTGCTGCCCAGAGCTGTGGGTGTCCCATCCCTGGAGGCACTTAGGGCTGTGTTGGATCCCTGGACCCTCATCGGATGGGGGGCACGAGCCCATGGGAGAGGGTTGGATCTGGATGTGCTTGCAGGTCCCTTTCATACCAAGCCATTCTATGATTAACTTAATGTTAATCGGCCTCTACTGAAGCACAGCACATGTTGGCTGAAACCTGGCTATTGACAAAATCCACAGCCTTCCCCTCACCACCAGTGCAGCTTGGATTGCATTGGCTGCGCACAGTACTACCAAAAGAGATGCTGTAACAGGAGGCTGCAAAAGGCTTGGATGGATGATGCTTTCCACTTTGTGTTCTGTATGATCTGTATATTTTTCATATATTCTTTTAGTATAAGAATATTGACCCAAAGTAAGGTCAGTTACTGATACTTTATGTATTCTCAGTGTTGGAGGCACAGTTGCCCTTTAGAACTGATCATGCAATGTATTTTCAGCACTACAGCAGTGGCAATGAGTTATCCCCTGAACACACAGGCAGCAGGAACCTTTCCATGGGAGCTTTTTCCAGTTTCTCTCTGCTTTTCCAGTTGTTTTTAAAAGTGCAGGAAAGTTATCATCACATTATTCCAGTGGAAAAAGACATCTATATAATTTTTCCTTCACAATGTGTTCACATTTTTTTCTCAGCTTGCAAAACTCCACCAGTAAAAGGTGTACTGCACTGAGAAGAAAGTGATACATTTTGCAGAGAGGAAAATTTGGAGAAGTCACCACATCCATGACTCAGCAAAGAATTAAGGCGTGCCTTTGACCTGAGCACATAGCAGTGGGGTCCACACCACACTCCAGCAATTTTGCCTTTGAGATCTCTTTCTGAGCTCCAGCTCCCAACCTGTTCCTTGTGCACCCAAACGTGATTTGTTAATGGTAACAAATACCCACCTAACTGCGAGAATCATAAGGCAGATAGAGCAGTACAGATGCTCTGTACCAAACACCCTGATGCTTCTCTGAGTGCTGCAGAGAAGGAGATACCACCATGGCTCTGGGGCTGTCCCCTTCCACATGTGCCCATGTGAACAACAGTTCTGAAGCTGCACCTCATAATGCACCATGGACTGAGAAGAACTGAAGTACGAAGAAATGATGTGCCTATATATTTCTAACAAATATGTTACTACTTAACTTTTAATGTGATTTCTTTGTTTGAGGACAAGTTCAAAGTTGCACACAGATACCAAGGAAGCTGAGTGTGCAGCCCAGGGCTGAGATACACCATCTTCTTTATGTACCATCTGAATATGCAGCCCTCAAGGTGCTGCAGACAGATCCAGCTTTGCAGGAGGGAATCTTCACCTGCCTGACCTCAATGCTGTATTGAACTAACAGCTTTTTCCTGCACTGGACTGGGATTGTGGAGAATAGTTCCTTCTTAACTTTCTCAGCCAATCAAAAAGTGCTGTAAAGAATGCATCAGTTCGCCTTTTTCTCTTGTATGTCAGAGCCCACCAGCTCTCCGTGAGAAGAGGCTGTCCTTGGTCATGCTGTGTCCTGCTCTAGCAGATGCAGGACAGCACACTGCTGCAGGTCACCATGTGGGTGGATCCCAGCAGTGCCAAGCAGCACACAGCCCGAGTTTGGGTTAAAAAGTTAGTTAAACTTCAAAATGATGCATAACTGTTAAATTCCACACATCCCTGTGAAATGCTAAGACTTATTCACTTATGCATTGAAGGATCTAAAGCTGTGTGAGCTGACTTGGGCTATTCTGCTAACATCAGGGAGAAAAAGCAGTACGGCGTTGCGACCTGTGCTTGGAACATTCGGCTTTGTTTTCTGTGTGTGTTCTGTACAGCATTCCCTTGCCTAAAACCTGCAGTGTCATGTATCAAGGGGTATTTTGTCTTTAATTGTGGTATTCTATAATAATATTTGTGAACAAATGATTTAACAAATTACATAGAACATAAAAAATATGTTTTTAATTTAAAAAAAAAAAAAAAAAAAAGACCCAAAGGTTTTTCCTCAGGCTTTGCTCCAAAATTCACCCTTCAGCCAGGACTGCAGAAAAGCACGCACACGTGTGCACGCAAACAAATTCTTTAAGCAAATTAGAAACACATGAAAATGGGGACTGTCTTCTTAACTGCACTCTGTTTTCAGTACAGCCAAACTGCTGGTGATTTGCTGGTGGAGGAACACACAGTCCTTATCTGCACGGTGTTCCTCCCTCTCTCCAGCCTGGTTCCCCTGCGTAAGGCACAGCCCGGTCTCAGGCAGGAGGTGGCTGCCCGGAAGAAGAGCCTTTATGGAATAATACTTTCCATTAAAACAATTATTACTTAGTAAAAGCCTGATTTTGGAACTATTTTATTATGATTGCAAGACAAATAATTAGAATCTGTGTCATTTCTTTATGTAAAGAAATTACATAGTAATGAATGTACACAAGACAAAACACGTGAGTTTCAGCAGCTGCTTTTAAATGATAAACTTCGTGCTGGAGTTTCCTGGTGTGACTATGTTAAAGGCTTGATGTCACTTTACATGACACGAGGTTTGGTTAGGCTGTTATGAACATCAGCTGCCACAGAGGTCATTCTGAAAGCAGAATGAATGCTTGAAAATTTTTTACTTTTCAATGAGGAGAAAAAAAAAAAAACCTGATAAAATAAATAACTGCTAAAAACAACCAATAAATGGAAACACTTCTAATAAAATTCTTTGAAATTGACATTAGCTGCTTGACTTTCAAGCCACTGGTAAAGGCATCCTCCGGTTAATCTTTGGAAGAACTACAAAGTCTTTGGAGTAAATTTGAAAGAAAACCAACACTTTTCAAATATCACTAAGATAGAACATTTCTGATAAGTCTAACTATTTCCAAATATGAAATTATTGCATTATGGCTTCTGGGAGAGCTATGTTACATTCCATTCAACAGATGTTGCATTTCAGTGGAGTAACTCCTGATACAAATCAAATTAATGGCATCTCTCATGCCTCAACTGTATTCCCACCATATAAAAGAACACTTGTAGAACTGATTTTTGCTGCACCATTATTTCAAGATGTTTTCTAAAAGCTAGAAACTATGTTAGTATACCGATTCAAGACACTGGAGGAATAACTCATCTTTACTCCACATTACAGTTCAGAGTATGATACAAACAGTGGAAGTCAAAGTATTAATACCACTCATTGGATAAAAGCATTACATCATAATTTTCCATTAACTTTTTTCTAAAAAGAAAAGATGGAAAATATCCATGAATGTTGCAGAACGGACTGAAGTTGCATATGATTTTGACATACAAACTCAAATGAAAGTTTGCTTTATCCTGCAAGTGAGCATTGAGGCAGTGCTTCTCATAGTCACTGATAATATTAGAGACTGGGACATTAAGTTTTATGTAATAAAATCTGAAAATAC